GTGGATAGAAAAAGGGTGAAATCAAGGCAGACAAAGTTCTGTGAGAAAACAAACAATTTGAAGATAAAGATTAGTGAAAATATTCAAGCTTTAGACGACAATGAGTGAATACATTTGCGTCATTGCCACAGATATTCAGCCATGTCACCAACAGTCCTATCATATAGAGGACCCCAACCAGGTAATCTGCATATCCCCCACACGACTTAAACCAACAATAAGAGACTTCATCGACTGGTGCTACGTTTTGGTCTGGCCACTCTGAACCCTACCCCAACCTAATCCAACTTCTCCTAGCATGGCACGTCGAGGAAGATGGTAGCCCAGCATGCCCAGTACATGCCAAAGTCATCTCAGTCGACTTGCCTGTCTTTCCTAGTAACGTTCGTCTGACCTCAAAAGAAAATCATCCTAAGATGAGCATGACATGCACATTAACCAGTTACATTTTAAGTACCACCTATCTTTCATATATTTGATGCTGCCTACGAGACTGAAGTAAAAACTTGTCTCTTAAAATAAATATATCCTAATGAGAACACCGATGCAGTGAAGGACTGATAACAAAGACAGTCTCATTCAATGGGAAATGGAGTAAGTTTTATGTTTCTGTATTATGTGGTTCTATTTGACCAATCATTATCAAAGGGAGGGTGACAATCGCTGTAGCAGGTAAATAAAGTGTTCTTGGTATGGAAATCCAAAAAGTATTACTCTCTCCAACTCTTCAGTTTTCTCTGCTGACTTTCTTGTTGCTTGCCAGTGGCAATCGTTCTCTACCACTAGCTTTTTAATATCTACTTCGAAGCCCGGATAATAAACTTACAATTACGTAGGGTAACAGCCTCTCCTATTTAAATTATTAGTATCTACACACTAATGATGAGTTTATGAGAAACAAACACATGAAACTAAGGTGAGATGGAGACTTTCAATAACTCTAGTGTATATCCATCATCACCATCATCAATATCAACATAGGACCAGACATTACTGTCTAACGGTCCCACTTGCCACACCTTATATCACTACATCAAGTAAAAAGGCAGTGAAGTACAAGATGAAGAAGAAAAGAAACTTAAGCCAAAAGAAATATAAAGTACGAAAAGAGAGAAAGGAAGGATGAGAAAATGGTGAGATTCGGTATAGCGTCAATAAGATGAGGATAATGTGTGTGTATACATCTGCGCCACTGACATCGGTTCTCAGCCATATCACCTAGTCTCCAGCCACTGGTTCCTCTTGTCCCACAAACCCCAACCAGCTAGTTTACATAGCCCCACCACCACCACCACACGGCTCAAAACAACAGTCAAACACTTCATACATTGGTGCCACGTTTTAGTCTAACCACCTCGCGCCTTTTACCAGCCTGCACCCACCTTAGCCAACATTGTGTGACAAGGCAATCGGCAACTAGGCATACATGATACGTAATACGTGTCCCAACCATCTCAGTCGATGAAGGTTCATAACCTCGTCAACTGACTTACCTCTTCTCCCTCCCTAAAACTCTACACCTGACTTCTGCGTTACTCACCTGGTGACACCACAAAACACGGCCCATACTACGAAGGCAACGGTGGTCAAACACTTGAAGCCAGCCTTCTCATGTCTTCCACCTTCAATGACCATGTTTCACAGCCATACAGTAGAACAGAGAAGACTGCTGTGAAGTACACGTGACCCTCAATAGACATTCGGATATCACAGTGGCGCCATAGGTGGCGTAAGGTGACAAAAGCCAGCCAAGACTTTTGTATCCATGTAGAGATTTCATTGGCAACTGACCCACCAGGGTTGATCCTACTTCCCAGGTAAGTGAAGTCGTCGACACACTCAGTCATTAAAAGTTCTATTGTAAGCCCCAGTGGGGCACCGTTGAAACCAATTATGGGGCAACAATTTGCATTTCAGTGATGAGAAACGCATCCCAAACATTCTCAAATTCCCACTCAAAGTGTTCAGAAGACTCAGCTTCTCATCACTCAGCGCCTTCACCTAACACGACTAGACTATGTCATCTGCATATTATAGGTCTAACGAAAATTCTCCTGCGATTACGTCAACCTCTGTGTAACCTGGTGACGAGAGGGAGACATCCATAAGAATATCCATGATAAAATAGAATAAGAATGGAGACATGGGCACCTCTGACAGACACCAATCGATGAGCATAGCTCCCCGGACATCTGACCACAAGCTCCAACATGCCCAAGCTCACAAGTGTGCGATTAGACAGCCGTCAATCAGGTGATGTACCCACTACGCACGCCTTTCACTGACAGACACATTCCGTAAGACTTCTCGATCAATGGAGTCCAATGCCGCCACCTTAAGGTCGAGAAATACTGCCAGTCTCGGGCGTCGGTAAGCGTCCCTGTCTTCAAAAACCTGGCACAGTGTGAATATTTGGTCGACACAACCACCACCGGGTCTACAGACTGACTGACTGCCTAGTTTTCTCGGGCTTTCTGTTACCGACCTCCACTCTGGTGTCAAAGAATTATAGAACCTAGGAAATTAGACACTATGTTCGTCAGTCTGATTCCTCTATGGTTATCACAAGAGGACTTCTCGTCTTTCTTGAAGATGGGATAATCAGTGATTTAGACCAGTCAGAAGGGATCGTGTTTGATCCCCATATACTGGTTTACACTTCCGTTAACATGACTAAGAGAACCTTACCACCATCCTTCTATACCTCAGCAGGTAGTCCGTCTGGTCCGACGCCCTTTCTCGTTTCAGCTTACCTACCGCTTTCTCGACTTCTGCTAGTGTTGAAGGGCATATCTCAATGTTCCATTCAGGATCCCACTGGATAGTGGGCAACGCAATGGTGACTTCATGCCAGTTTAACTATTCCTCGAAGTGTTCTACCCATCATTACAGTCATCTCTTCTGCGAGTAAAATCACAGACCTGTCCTGCTCCACTATAGCCACACTAACCGCAGTTGACCTTCTCCCACCCCCACCCCCAAGTTCCCTTAGTAAATCTAAATAACTGTCTACTATTACCGATCGCAACTGCCTTTTCCATCTCTTTAGCCTTCGCTGACCACCACTGTTCGTGGTCGTTGCCTAGACTCTTTCTCAATCTACTTTTTAGTTGTGCTCGCTCTTCATTGTACTCACAGCCTCCAGGCACGGATGCCTTCACGTGCATCCATTAGTTCGGAAGAAGCTCCTGATATCCACTGACTCTTTTTAGTCACTACTTCGGAGTTGATTACCGTCTTCAGCGCTCCTTTTACACTACACTAGAGATGGCACCAAGCTTCTTCTGGATGAGTGATACTCTTCTGTTTCGATAACTGCCTAGCCAACTTCTCACTCAACACGACTTTGGTGCTTCCATTGTCCAGCAGCACTCGTAGTAGTCTTGTTGCCAACGTTTTCTCACGTCCATTGAAACGCAGACATATACGTGCTCGGACCAACGCGTGGTCGCTATCCAGACACGTACTCCACAAGGAGCGATAGTCTTCTACCGATCCTCTCCACCGATGACTAATAGCAACGTCGTCTATCTGTGTCCATCACTGAGTTGACCTCGGTCAACGCCACCTCAAATACTGTCTTTCTTTATGTCTGAAATTTGTGCTGGCTAGAAATAGGCGGTTATCTCAGCACACTTGCAGTAGGCAATAACCGTTATCTGTACGTTCAGCTGGGACTCCAAAACTACCACCTAAGTACCTTTCTGCCTCACTCAGTCTACCCACCTGTGCATTCAAGTCACCTGTAACAACAACCACGTACCAACGTTTGGCTTTCGAGAGGAGGCTAGACAGTTTACGGTAGAACTCGTCCTCCACTACATCCCAACTACAGTCAGTGGGTGCGTAAGCAGAGATTACAAAGAGACAACGGTGAGTCTCACTACTCCTTTCACTTCTCACTGTGCCGTTCAGTCGAATAGCACAGAGGCGACTTTTAACTGGGATCCAGTCTGGTAGTGAGTTTTCTGCCCTAGTGTTTAATGCTACGCCTACACCTGCAAGACCACGACAGCTAGCCACCGAATCTCCAGAAACTCGAAGGGTGGATTTCGTGGATTCACCAGATTGACTACGAGAGGTCAGGTGAATAACCGCACTTGGGTCTTGTATGCAAGTCTCACAAACACAACACACATCCATGCCCCGAGTTGCTAGTCTTTTCCAACCAAGCCTACCCACCAATTTGACGGAGGGTGCGGACATTGGAGGCTCCAATATGTAATTTGCAGAGCGGTTTAAGGAAACCAGGGATGCTGTTCTATGGGCTCAGATCGTTGTCAAAGGCTGCACAGCTAGGAGAAATTGAAGATGATGTAGTATCGTTAATTGAGAGACATGGAGGAAGATTAGAAGATAATGATGAGGGAGGTGGATAGCAGTTTGAGGAAACTTGAGTCCCGATAGAGTTGTAAGGGCGGTTGACACTTCCTAGCTGCCCACATCGTACAAGGCTATTTCTTCTTAAGGTACCTGAAAGAGATTTCCGTGACCACAGAGCACATCGGACATCTGCTTCAGGCCTGTCACTTTCAGCCTTTTGTGCATGATTATTCTGAACCTTTGTTGTTTGTGGCTGGATGGTCGAAAGGAAACGACAAATGAACCAACATCGCTGGCCCGGCAGACCGTGGGGCATGGTGGAGTGTTATTTTTGGGGCCGACCTTTTCTAACCCCCCCCCACCTTTTCTACGGGAAACATTTTACTGCTATCACACTCCATCCAGCTAGCAGCAATACGGCTTCGCCCTCACACCCCTATCATCGTGTAGTAACTATAGTAACTGTTTTTCGTCTAACCACTATCCAACAGACCTTCTTGGTATGGTAGGACCTGGAGGGAACAAGTGTCCACCAGCATTGCGATACGCAAACCCGACCACCACTTTCAAGGTAGCAGCTATCCGTTGGGAGTTTATAGCTCTCTACATCATAGGAACAGATATGACGATGAAAAGGAGAGGAATAAACTACTATCAATTAATAGTACACAACTTACCTAGATATTGTGTTAGTGCTAACGGCACCGGTGCTTTATTATATCCAATATGTATGTCGGAAACAGAAGAATCCTTAAGATAGTTTTTATCACCTTCTGTATAAACATCCACGGGTTGATAATGAAATGCGTAAGCTGAAAACCTTTTATCATTCATTCCATATTTAGTGGGTGTCGGTTTGGAATGTACATTGGTTACAGTATGGTTATGTAAAATATCCAGATTGTTGCGTAAATCACTACGAGAATGCACATGAGCGTGTTTTAATTTATTACTGCGATTATTATTGTGACGATTCAGTTTACATGAAGACGGAGAGTTGGATTGAGGTGATGTAGATTTATCAGTGCTTCCAGTATTGTTACTATTCAGTAGGCATTTTTGTATCCGTTTCCGTAAAACTATTGTTCGATTATTTGAACTTTTAGAATTCGTAACATGTGATAAGTCATGACTTAACAACTGCCGACATTTACGCATTATACGACGATTAGCCACACTCGTTGAATGATCTTTATCAATATTATCAAGTTTATCGTTGTCATTGGTATTCTTAGGACTATGTGATTGACTAGTATTGCGTTTATCATCAGGAGGGGAAGATTTGATCTCAACATTAAGTGGATGGTCCTGATTACCAGTTGAGTTTGATATCCTGAATTTGATACGAATATGGGGAGGCTGATCAGATTTATCTATGTAAATAAAAGCAAAATAAAATGCATATAGGTTTACTTCATAATTTAGGAAAACTTTGAAAACACTCTCTTTTAGCTAATCTCAGAGGGAAATTAATTCAATTGTTGAATAGTAGTTAAGGTAATACTGTGATCCCCCAGTAGTGACCAGAAACCAACAGCTTATAAGCATCATATGTGCAACTGAGAGAGGTGATGCAACTAAAACATACGCTATGTTTCAAATTAGGATGTTTGGGAGAGATTAACTGGTCGAAGATCCCCCTTTCGCCATTTTTAACACTACATCATATAGAAATGTGCAGGATTTTGGACAGACTTATGTTGAAATCAGAGGACTCAATACCAAACAACTAGAAATATCATACTTGAGTCAACCAATTTAACTTCTTCACTCCAAATGAATGAATATAAATACTCGACTTGGATTTGTATTCAATGCCTCAGTGGTGCAATAAATGCTTATCAAGTCTCTTCATTCGCTGTAGAAAGTGAGAAAATCAAACAAATCAATAAAACATCTTGAACTACAAGGATATATTTCTACACTTGTGCAGTGAGGAAAGTATGCTAGTAACACACCTGGAGCTATGGTTTACTGGTTTAGGCAGTTGGCATTTAATCAATGAGTAACAAGTTTGACATAGAGATGGAGATAAAATCAACGTAGAAAATCGTAAACAAGTGCGTCGATTCAAGTTGCCAAACTTTACGGTAGTAGACAAAGTTGAGTGAGAGAACAAACAATCTGAAGATAAGGGTTAGTGCGAATAGAAGACGTCAACGAGTGAATACATCTGCACCACTGTGACCGATTTTCAGCGGTGTCAGGAAGAGACCTCAACCGCTGATTCCTGTCGTCTTGAGGACTCAAACGAGACAGCCTACATCTCTCAACACAGCTCAGATCGACGGTCATGGACTTCATCCACTAGTGGCACATCTTGGTCTGACCACTTTGAGCCCTCTTCCCATCTAATTTAATTTCCCCTAGCATGACATGTAGAGGTAGGCGGTGATTCAAACTCCACTTCACCTACTGAAATCTGGGTAACCAAGTGGTAACATCGATCCTTACATAAGGGGAAAGATTCATTGCCCATCATATGAACATGAAATATGGAATAACCTAAAGATGGGATAGGACACAATAGCATATTATGTGTTTCATCTGAAGTCTGGTTATTATATGAATATGAATGAATGTGATGACAAAAGATGAATCCAAGTTTTTGAAACCATAACAAAAAAAGGATATGACCCCCGAGATAGAACAAGTCACTAAAATCACTGAAAAGAAAGCAAGTTATTTCACATGAACTACAGGAACGGCTGAAATCCAGAGGTACTGATATTCCTAGTCAATAATAAGATACCGGAGACTCTTGAGGATGGTGCATCACTGAGACCGATTTTTTGGCTTTACAAAAAGGTAATTAAAGTCATAATTCAAAGAAAAATACTAGGGTTTTATAAATAGTTGATCTCCAAAAGCTCCTCATTTGTTTCAACAACAGCTAGAAAGTTTTAAAGTGAGCCTCCAGTCAGTAAATTAGTTTACCGCGTAGACATAGATCAGAAGAAACATTTGGCATACGGACTTCACATCTCCAGCTACTGACTACCTTGAAGCCTAACTGGAAGTGGTTTCAAAGTGTTGAAAAAAAGATGATGTCAATTTCTTTCCCAAGTGCTTACGTTTATTCAGGTCATAATACAAGTCATTATATCAAACTGTCGACTATTAACCATGAAGCAGAACGAAAGTTAAACGTTCTCAACAACCTTATTCACTTTCGTAGAGTAGACACATAAACTGCATTTACTGTGCGAATGATAATGATATCACTTGGCTATACGAAACCTGGATAGATGTAGCAGTGTTCAGACCCATGACGCGCTGGTTGAAAAGCAACTGCATAAATCAATAAGCTACAGATATACACTACTAATCAATGAATCATAGATTCATAAACTTCCATCCTAATCTACTTTAAAATGAGAAAAAATTAGTCTTGGTTGATAGTCTAGTACACTTAGCTGTACTACACTATTGAGACACTAATTCAATTAGTTAACTCTAGATAGTCTGGATGTGAAATGAGTAGAAATCTACTTCAATGGAACAAGAAAGCTTAGACTTCACTGTTTGGGAAATAGTCAATTTAGGGTTCGCTTTGAGCTGATTGAATATCAATTAAATCACATCAATTGACACCTTATAATCACCTAAACCTACAAAATCTGATTATTTACACAACACAGCAGCAACAGAAAAACATAGAATTAAACAATAGTTCAAGTACACAGTTTTTTGTGAGATGCAGTGAAAATTTCATGAGAACTATATTAGTAAAATGAAAAGCTCAATCAAAAATGTTTTATAAAGTCTAGATGTCTTTATGTATCTGTCTAGTGCCTAAAACAAGACCCTTAAGAGAAGATAAATGACTATTGTAAGCTAAAAATATGATACTAACATTCCCACATATGCATAAACACACACGTTAGAATGATGAACACGATAAACAACGAAACGTAACCGTAGTTTGTCAGCTGGCAGATGTGTCTTCATAAGTAAAAACAAAATCTCTTAAATACCTTTTAATCTATGGATGCGAACTCAACTGACTTTACAAATCAAAACACAACCAGTTTTTTTCTGTTTGGCGCCATTCTATTTATCTCTTTCTTTTATGGTTTGCAGACAACTTGCACATGTATGTGACGGACTGGTTTGATATTGTAAACAATCGAATACAAACTTTATATGGGCTAATAGCAAGAAAAATAATTATTATAAGCACACAAGATCCACATGAATATTTGCTGTGAAGGCGGAGGAAAAAATCTTGTATACCACCTTAGATAGAAGTGGAGCTATTTGAATACATGAAATACAGAAAAGTCTACTCGGTAGGCGTAAACAGAAGCTTAAAGCCCTCCAATAATCAAATATTGTGGATCTTCATAAAGAGATAGGCACGTGGATTTTAGTGGCTGCGCTGTGCACAGTCTTCCGATATGGTTATTCAGTAGTGTCGACACGCACTGAAAGGTGAAAACTGAAAGTGAATCATTGCAATCAACTTTATCTGTATTTCTACTTCTCATAGGTTATTTGGAGGAAACATTTTTTAGCCTACAAGAAAAACCACGATTACACTGTCCTCCTCACCGTTTGCGAATGCCTCTGGTGTGATTTTAATTAATATTACTCCCTTTCTTTAATTTTGTACAATAATTAAGGCGACTTCGTTAATCAAGGTTGAATATGAGGGAACAAGGAGGTGCTGTAGGTTCATCGGCTTAGGAAGTTGACTTTCAACCAATGGGTAGCGGGTTCGAACACAATCAGGAAGTATCACTAACCCTTACACAATAGGTGTCACTCACTGCCTACTGCACAAATATGCACAAGGCTGCTGAGTGGATTTTGATTTTCCGTTGTTCAATGATCGAAGCACTCTACTTTCAACTAGTAGGCCGCTGGTTTGAAGTCAGCTTCATCGAACGAGGTCTGGGTAATCAGATAGTTTCACTAGCCCTTAAACAATAGGAGTGGTTTATTACCTGCTGCACGAACGTTCACATGGCTTTTGCGCCAACTTCCAGATTAGTTGCCAGGTAATTTTGGACAAATTATAAAAAGGCATCAGTCATTTCCTACTTTATATAACTTGCTGTCATGGTTTTCTAAAGCCTAATATTTAAGTATGGAGCATTCTTAATTGCAACTGAATTTACTTTACCTTTTTTGAGTAAATGTGCAAGTGCAACTGGTGCACATTAGCAGTTTTCAGTGAGTTAGAAGCCTTAAGCTTATTTGGCTACAAGTGAACAATTTACTGGTACTGTTAGGTTAGAGACGAAAATTTTGTTTACTACATGAATAAGTGGAAGTCTTGATCACGCTAACGACAAATTAAACCGAATAACCTTTAAAATCAAAGGTTTGAATAACAAGAAGGATGAGAAATAGTGCATTTTGGTCTAGACACTGAAAGGCAGATGACATAGTCCTGTTAGGTGAATATGCTGACAAGATGTAATACCCTGAACACTTTTAGTGGCAAATTGTTACTACAGGACTGGTCTTCACTGATGCCTTGTTTAACAATAAGGAGTAACGCTGCTGAATGCGTTAACATGGACAACCAACAGTTAGGGTTCCATTATGCAAAGCTTATCATTGATGAATACTTCAAATGAGAGAACACTGCTTGAACTGTGTCCCACCCCATCAAAGTCAAATTAATGACAAGCTTTTCACTTCCAAGGCTATTCAACAAAACAGTTTCAGATTGAGAATTCCTTTCTTGTGTAAACTAGTGCAGACCGACTCACATTTACACACTATTCATTGATGAAGCTTATAAGTGGTTCAGCGTTTCCAAAACTTGAAGTCTGCATTGGAGCTGACATCAGTCAATTAGTTAATATCAAAATGGGACCTGTCATCACCATATAGCACTTTAATTTATCGAACTTTAAAGTATATCACGCGAGAATTTACTACGATGAAAGATAAAGAAAGAAAGAAGTCAGAAGTTAAAGAGAACAAGGGGGAATGAGACAATACTGAAATAGAGTGTTTTATCGGGCTTTGTGTACTACTGGAAGCGTGCGCCCGGTTGACATTTTGCGGATACCCGAACCATGAAAAGCTAGTTCCTTCGTCTGTCTGAAATTCAGAATAACGATTAGAATGAAGATTATTCGTGGATACATCTGTGCAACTGACATCGATTCTGAGCTATATCAACTAGTCTTCAACCACTGGTTTCCGTTGTTACTCCAACCCTGACTGTAACCGGAAAGTCTACATTTCTCGATACAGCTCAGACCAACAGTCAAAGACTTCATCCACTACGCCATGTCTTAGTCTGGCTACCTATAACCTTCTTCCAACCTGAACCTACTTCAGTCAACATTGTGCGACGATGGTGATTAGGCATGTGTAATACATACACCGCCCACCTGAATCAATGAAGATTCACAACCTTATCGACTGACCTTCCTCATCTCCTTAAAACTACTCCTGACACCTACGTTACTGAGATGGTGACACGATGAAACACGGGCTATGCTACATTAACAACTACGGTCGAACGCCTGAAACCTTCTCATGTCCTTTACCTTTAATGGTCATGTTTCACAGCCATATAATAGAACAGAGCGAAATACAGCACAATACCCTCGACCCTTAATAGACAATCTAATAACACTGTGGTGTCATAGATGGCGTAAGCTGGCGACAGCCAACTAAGTCTCTTGTATAAGTGCAGAGATTTCGTCGTTCACTGACTCACCAGGGCGGACCAAACATACCACGTAGGTGAAGTGGTTAACGCACTCAGCAGCGTTACTCATTATTGTTAAACAAGGCACCAGCGAAGACCAGTCCTGTAGCAACGATTTGTATTTGGGTAGTGAGAAAAGTATCCCAAACATTCTTAAATTGCCACTAAAAGTGTTCAGGGGACCATATCTTGTCATCATCATCTAACAGGACTGCCGAGTACATACTATAGAGTTCTAGGGAGTTACTGTGACATGGTTAATTCCTGCAGTCAGATAAAGAGGGAAACCTCCATAGGTTTGTCTATGAAAGACAAAAATGTAGAGTGGACTTCCTTGATGATCACCATTCGACGTACACAACTCACCTGAGCAGCTTATAGGGACTATTAGTTCTAAGCTTATTTTTGAACTTTTCCCTAGGTGAACAGGGATTCAATATGGAACACCTAGTAAAATACTGTCTCAGTTCAACCAGCAAAATATAAATAGTTGACAAAAGAATGACTGCATAGAAGAGTGAATAACTAGAACTATGATGCCAGGATTCGAAACGCTTATAAGACCAGAAAGATAGAGTACATCTGGACAACTGTGTTCATATAACCATGTCCGACAAAGATCCTAGCTGATAATTCTCGCTATTCAAAGCAAACAAATTCATATTCATTCACACAACACACACCGTTAGTGAATCTATGGTTTGTAGTTTAGTTATCCCTTAGCGTAAACTAACGAATGATTACTTGCTAGAAATATACAGTACTTCAAACATTTAAAATAACTCACTCTTGTTCAACTCATCTTCTGAGACCATGGACAAGTTATGCGACTGAACTGATCTCAATGTAGACTCGGAATGATTTGTTGTACTGTTTAGAGCAGGAGGAATTTCATCCATTTGTGAATTTGGGGATCTATTAGCCGATGATAATGAAGAAACATACGGTGATGACGAAGAGTTTCGACTATCACGGAGATCATGGGAAGAAGAGGAATTTACACTAAGACAATCATCAATAACTGGATAATTGAAATCTAGTTTAGTATTTGTTATTGTTTTTCCTCTTCGATGAACACTCTGTTTGATGACATCAGTTTTTGATAACAAATCATTTCCACAAGGACTACTATTTAACAGATTTCTAACAGCTGTTGGAAACTGTTTTTCTGCTTCATCGTCCCCACATATTCCTGACCCTTTTATGGATAATGATGCTAACTGTTCGTCAACACAAGATTCCACTAAAACTGTGTTACTGCCATTATTAGTAGACAGTATATTATCACCACAAGATATCTTATTGTCCTCACTGTTAGCAAACGACCGTTTAAGTTCTGACTGCCATCTCTGTGAATTACGTCGTCGTCTAGAGCGTGATCTCATCCTATGCATAACAATGGATCCATTAACAATTCTATGACCATTCGTTTCCTTTGTTGACAAACAATTCTGCAAACTTGACTTTCTCCTACCGACGTTGTTAGTTATTATATTTGTCTTCGACTTTGTTACGTCAGGCAAAGATGCTGATCGTTTTGGTAAGGAGCGGAAAGAATTTGAGTGATGTTTAGTGAGAGCTGTTGGTCTTTTTGATTTATGGTTAGTATTGCTATTGCTATTGTTTTGATTATTAGTTGTGGACGAGTTTGAACTCTGAGTATTTTAAAACAAAAAAGGATACGTCATAAATAAACCGAATGAGAAAAAAAGGATGAAAAAACACAAACCAAACAGTACGGCTATAAATTTTAATGTAATTCATATACTCAGGTTTACATACTAGGCTGAATCACAATATGTGAAGACTTAGCTATCACTCGGATGCCTAAGCCATTTCAGCAAACACGTGAACGTTCATGTACTAGGAAATGAATCACACTTATTGTAGAAGCCTGGGAAACTACCCGTCTGCTAGAACCGAGCTATGTGAAGCGGAGTTTAAACCTATAACCCACCTGTTGAAAGCTGACTAATTAAACCAGAGGACGAAAGCTCAAAAAAACCGATTACACACTCAAGAATATTTAACTCTAGTAACTATCTAAAGGGTAACTTTTAGTGCATCAATTACATGGTTGTCCATATTTCTAACTATATTAGGGTCCCCAAAACAGTACTAATTTATCACTGAAACAATTGCACCAATCCGTAATTTAAAAAAGATACTACGCTACAAATCTTCAAAACTTCTCACAATGAATTTCCTGAAGTATCTAGAAAATATGAATGCATCAGCACATAATTTTCCACTATTAGTAAGAAAAATCATGAAATCCTTCAGAAGTTCAGCTTTAAACAGATATAGGTTATTCCGTTACTTCTGTGTGAAATGAATTACTCCTTTCAACTCATAGCTTAGTAGGAGCAGGATAGTACTAGCCCTGGAATTTAGAAGTGTATTCATACTGCAAATAAACAGTTGAAATCGAGCAGTTAAACTGTTATACTTTGATACCGACTCCTAGAAATATCATCATCATCAACCTGCTACACTGACGCAAACAGAAAAAATCTTCACATATTGTAATAAACCTATTTCAACTTTGCTGAACGTTTGCTTCAGGTTTCCTGGCAGAAAATTCCAAACTAAAAAATACAAAGGTTCTAGAAATCAAATTTCTTGACCCACAACCTCATTTTTATCGTTAAGCTACGATACATCCCTGTCAATTCACTTGCCCTGATGGTTGTATTACACAAGGCAGTCAGTAAATCTCAGTTGGTACCATGCACTTAACCATGGATCTACTTTGTCTCATATATTGGTTGAGTCATGTATTCCAACTTAAAGGTTTTGCAGAAAACAAAAAATGAATTCATCAACAAAAACTCAGACAAGTAAAGATTTTCATCCTTCCAATAACTTGAACTGCATGCAATAGAAGGAAATTCAACACAATGACAATTTATAATTACTTCTCTGGAGACGATTTCGGAGATAATACGGCCTTTGCGGTCACGGCGAACAATGTTATTCTCGTCCTATTTATAAATTCAACAGAAAAAAGTAGTAAAGATAAGCATACATCCAATAGCAAAACAAATTAGACATAAGACATAAATCTGTAAACATGTGTCAATGTACTTGTTCTATCAATATAGTTGCATTATTGGTCGCATACTGATGCCGGGAAAGGTTTCTGATAATGCTGATTAGTCTGTGAGCTAACTAGTGAGACCTGCAGTGATGGCGGACGAATAGTAACAGATTCAAAGTTTTAAACAAAAAACGGTATACATGAAAAAAGAGATCAGATGTTGATTTGAAACGCATACATGATTCGCAAACTTCTTTTACGCACTCTGTAGTGGTTGGAGAATTTGGTTGACATTTTAATTCTATCGTAGAGATATAAATAAATTCACTTATTGTTTCACACAGTCCTGAATATAATACAGCTTTTTACCTATTTGTCTTCTATTCATTCACTTTGTTCTGCTAGCTATCACAATACTATTTCCATAAGATAATTTCTTCGCATGGGTTTTGTTTGACAACTTACGACATATCTGGCACCTGCGTGATATATGACTAGTTATCAAAAGAAGAGAATACTGCACCACAGTTCGCTCCATCCTGCCAAACAGCTGTGACATAACTGCAGAGAAAAAAATATGACGAGATTACAGGTTTCTGAGCACAGTTGTTTTCTTGCTATTGCTCGCCTGCGGTGAAATAACCGTGTGAACGGTGCCGAGATTAGGTGGAATGTACTAGGCAAGGAAGGTAATTCAGTCGATGAGGTTGTGAACCATCACTAACTGAAGTGGCTTGACCATGTGATGCGGATGCCGACCCACCACTTTCCTCTACGTGCAATGCTAGCCGAAGTGGGACTGAGTTCTAAGAAGGTTAAGAGTGACCAGACCAAGATATCGATGAAGTCTTTGACTGTTGGTCTGAGTCATGAAGAGTGGCGTATACTGCTTAACTGTGGGGCGGTCCTGGAAAGCGTAGAAATCAATTACTGAAGACTATTGATGAGACGGCTTTAAATCGGCTACAATGAAGAAGTAATATTCACACTGTGACACTCTCAAAAATCTGAGCGTTTTCACTAACTCATGTTTCTAAACTATCGATTTTCCCATACACATTCGTCTACTTTAATGTCACCCTTTCTATCTGCTTCTTCCTTGTATGTTATTGTGATGTATTTCTGTGTAAGATTCTACGTTTACCCTGTCTTTGTCTAAATAAGATTTGAGGTGTAAAAGCCTGCGACAATCAAGTCGCAGGTCGCTTGTTAAAAAGTCTAAAACAATGATTTTAAATTCTGCTTTTATACAGCTTAGATTTCAAAAGCATGTTTCGCTCTCACATAGCGAAAGGAATATAACCACGGAACCAACCAGAAGTAAGTAAAAATAAACCAGTGACGTGTCACATAGATTCAAGCTTCTTTTAACAGTGTGGTCGTACACACCGAACTTATGGCATGGCACAGCTTTAAGATTCTAGAAGTAAAACATGAGTCTCTAAAGTGCAATGGTAATGGAATCGGGTTTAGAAAATAATCAAAACACAAAACTTACTTTGGATTTTGGATTTTTCAGACGAGCAAAGTACTGTTCCAACTAGATGTAACAGAAATAAGAAAGTGAGATACGATGAAAGCTTAGGTACTAAAAAGGTGGAGAGGAGAGTGATTACAAATATATAAGTTTAAACCAGTTATTTTTTAACAGTAGAAACCTTTAACCGATTATGAATGAAGGCAGTGAAAATCTACCTTGGTTTGACTTTCAAGCTCACTTTTAACTTAGATCTAACGCTCAAGTAATTCTCTACAGGCGTCTACAGCACTCTCTTTTGCTGAATAGCCTCCTATGGTAAGCTAGTGGGAAACACAAAACTTACATTCTGTAGACCGCTTACATACGATGGAGGTAGCAACTATTGCACAAATTTTAGGTTTTGAATGAGATTTTGAAAATCTTGATTTTTTTTCAGCTAGAGATTTGTAAACTAAGGTGATGCTCAGCAGTTACTACTGTCCAAGCTTTACTACTTGAAAGTGGAAATTTCACCATTATGCTTAAAGAATGCACTAGTACCAAGTCCTTCCGACTAAGCATAATGCTTTCAAAAATATTACTCAATCGAAAACTAGTCACTGATAAGAAAGAGATATCAGTCTATTAGTATTCGATTTTTCAGCAATGAGTCACGAGTTCAAATCCCACTCTGGCTACTTTTACCTGGATAACCAGGTAGTATTACAAGTCATCCCAATAACGGTGGTTCATAACGCAGTACATAAACGGTGTCAAGCTGGATGAAACCATTTAGTGGTCATAATTCACTAACTTGAATACTCGACTCCGGAAGAGTGGATCACGGGTTCCCTTCACCTTCCAAGGTTTGGACAGCCTAGTAGTATCATAAGCTTTCATAAGATTGGTGTAGATTATAGCTCAATGTAGAATTTGCACATGGACACTGGGTTCTTTTTTTCCTTTCATCAGACAATAAAACGGTTAGTACTTTTGATTAAAACATAGACTAACTAGAAACATTCACATAAATACTTACCAGAGAACGATCAATAGTATGGACATAATAGCTAAATGGCTTATCAGTCCATGAAACAGCATCCTGAATCGGGTTGAGACAACTCACGCGCATGATCGAACCAATATCTTATGGAATAATACAAAAGCAGAAGGATGTTTTGAAAAAAACTATCCGTGTTGTCATAACATCAATACGAGGCATGAAAACTGCATTTTAAGGACAGGAATAAAAACTACACGGTGACAAGTTGATGCACCTAAAACGACATGTTATATCAAAAGAAACTCAAAATTTTAGCATGACAATCGTGCACTATCCCAAACATCGTGTCATGGAACTGGTTACATAGGCCGCACAAAGCGTGTTCGAATCAAGTGCATCTCTGAACACTATCCTGCACGGCTCTCTGAAGGACAGTGTAAAGCCATTTATAAGGTGAAGTCAAATATTTCGAATGGCGTGCTTATTCGTCACCAGCATATCAGACGCTTTCGCAATCCAGCGTTGCTAGCTTGATCTGTGTTCAAAAGAGAAATAGGCAATCTCTAATTTTGCCTTAGTCGTAATCTCCCTAAAATAGCTTGTTCATTCCTCTACTTATTTACCTGATGGCTTTGGTTTGACTTTCTAGTTATTATCATCTTATGACTATTGACCGTTTTTGATAACTTTATATTGGGTCATTGGTTATTGATGGATACATATTTTGTTGTAACTATTACGATGTACAGCTTTTGAAAATGATTCGTCGAAAAGAAAATTTCCTTAGCTGAATTACCTTTTATTGATTGGACAGTGTTGCCCAACAGTAAACGGTGAAAGCGAAACTTTACAGTTAGAAACCCAATGCCTGTAGGATTGACGTATGGCATTAGTAGTGGGGTCCTAGCAGTATAACACCGGAACATGCGGAAAACGTAAACCAGTAAATTTTTAAGGTTGCTTCCCAAACGCCTCCGATAAGCTCCGGTAAAGCCACAAATAAACTAAGTCACCTAACAAGGATTTATGTTTAGACCACAAGCCAAGAGAAACTTTTGTTTGTGGTTCCTTGTATTTGACCAGGTTGCAGTAGGTTGTCTGCTACTGGATAACAGGTCCCAAGGATGTCATTTTTAAACCAACCATGTGAAGGTCCATGCAGTAAAAAACGAGGCACACGCATTGAGGGCTCATGGCACTACCCGGGAGCCCAAACCATAGTAAGTGGTGATATGAAACATGATGCTGCTCTACCACTCAGACTTGTTTTGTAAAGTTTCACCCTAAGACTTTATCACGCTTTTATGGAATATCCCTTAATTGTGTAATAACTATTACTTAGTTTCAACTGCAGACAGAATAAACCGCTAGAATTTCCAAACGACACTGTATTAGAATTTTCTGCTCATACGTCAATCGTCTGTGTGGACTGAAATGTTAATGAAGAATTTCATATGAAACATGAAAAGTGGCCCCCAATGGACCAGAACCACAGGTCACTCCACAACAATAGTAAAATCAAGCTTAGCAAATGAGTGTAATAAATTGATCCAAGCTTAATGAGTGTTTTAGATATCATCTGAGTACTGGGACTTTATCAGACTACCGGTCGTCTCAGAACCCGGCGCCAAGTGATGTAGGTATGAGTCTCCGAGGGAAAAAGTTTCTTAGACTTAGCAATTAAGTGTTGTGCCGCACTACATATATTTAGTGAATAAGAAAGCCCTCAAAATAATTCAGAATGTAAAAGAAATAAACTTATCGATCCATAAAACACCTTACCTCCAAGATTTCTATCTGTGATTCGGAAATTCAGTGGGCAGAAGGCCTTCGAAGAAATTATTCGAGCTCCTTCTTTAAGATTGGCAAACCTCTGTTTTAACTGATGGTCAACCTCTGGGCCAAATGCGAAGTTATTTGCAAATAGGACACTAGCATTTGTTATTTGTTCTTGGTATTCTGATGACAAAAAGTCTCCCCGTTCTAGCTATGAAACGAAAAAAGGAGAGGTAACAGCAAGATTAAATCTTCTGCTTTTCATAAATAGCTTAAACAAAGTAGCAGCTCGTTTAGAGCCAATTGCCTACGTTGAGAAGTCGGAAAACCCAAAACAGAGAGCATTCTTAAATATTTTGGTTTTGAAACTATTTAGTCAGTAACAAAGAATTAAAGTCTGACGTTTACTTACTTTGTAAGGTCGATAGGATTTGCCATAGAAACCCATCCAATGTCGAAATGCTGAATCAAGTCTTGAGGCACAGTAAGCCGGATACTCTGCCTTTTCAATGCCATAGCAAAACTTAGCGTCAGTAGATGCAGAGACTTGTAAGACAACCTGACCAACACCTAGAGAAAAAGACTATTACAGCTTAGTTGACTTACCACTCCCAAGATCGATAAATATATCATCACTTGCAACTGAAATAGCATCAATCATTTGGGATATGAGTTCAAATGACGTCTCTCCATACACCTGAGGTGAAAAGGGCGGATACTGATTGAGCTTTTCTGGATCTGAAACAGCCCGATTGTAGCATTGCAACAGTATAAACTGAATATGGTCACGAGAAGCCTTTCTGTTGTAGAAATCAGGGACAACACCCCCTTCGGTCCACTGAAGAACTATAAGCGAAATTTTAGTCTTACCATATGCCAAACATCAGTGATAGCTTTATTATAAACCCCACACAGATTTGAAACATCTGTGAATGAACTTCTATCAGTTTGCTTAAGCATTTCGATAAGTAATGGGTTTTCCGACAGTTCCTTCACGTCAGAGGTAATCCAGCTGATTATATCCACGATCTCTGAGTTCTCTTCTCTGATCTCCCCTGGCTATGAAAAAAAATACAGGTTAGTATGAAACAGTGTATGTCGAGACAGTATTTGAAATTTCCAGCTACCTTGCAGGGAATCCATCTGAAGATTTCTTCATCCTTCGTAGCTGGGCTTATAATAGTTAACTGAAGATCACCTAACATGGCATGCGCTTGCCTATCAAGTGAAGCAAAAGCCAACTGGGCCGCATCTTGGAAGTGCGCCAGCAGTCAAACCTTGCGGTTGTTGTATTGACTCACTAAAAGCACATTTGTGTAAATCACTATAATTTCTCATTATTATTAGTGGCCTGTCACTTGCCTTACATTATCTTATATATTGGCCATCCTTATGAAAGAATAATTTTTACCTCACAGTGATTCAAAGATGAATCTTGCCGGAGTCCAAAATGTAGTTCTTCAGCTTCACTTTCTTCTGTTGAGTTCCAATTCCTTGAAATATCTGTGGGCGAATTTCATTCCTCTCAAATTAACTTTTTGGTTATAGGTATCCCGGAAAATAACTTTTCCTATCTGCTGTTGGTAAACTTGTAAAAATCAAAGCGACGTTCACTACTATCGTCTGTGAAAATACATAAAACTATGGCGGTTAAAATACGTTTGAACTTTTCAGTGAAGAGGGATATAACGGATGATTATGTGCGGTACGTTAGTAACATGCGTTACATTCTTGCAGCTATTCACAGTTATTTGGTACGTTGTTTTTCGCTGACGTTTTACACTCCGGTTCCCTGGAAGTGCTCACATAGCACACTGAATTTTTAACCATGTTTACTTGCGGCGTCTTTTTGGCCTGGGTCAGCTGTTGTACAGCATACACAATTGGTCTTTGGGATGAATTTTTACCGTACTACCAACCACATCCAACTGGTCCTAGTTCTCAGACAACACCGTAACGGAAAAAAATACCGTTGAACTGTGGGTCAAAACTCAAACAAACGCGCTCGTAGAAGCCCCAGCAAGATCCACAGTAGTGGAAAACTACTCTTAACCTGCTTCCGTTATCGAACGAAACTAGCATGAGCCCTAACAATGAGTACATCGGTGCGAAACCAGGTACAGAACCGATGTTGAGACCGACAAAAGTTTTGACAAGCGGCCCGATGTTAAGTTCAGCAGCTGAGGATAAGGTAAACCAATAGCAACCGTAAATATTATCGGTGCACAAATGAAAGCCGTGATAGATCTGTGGTCCCCAGTAAACGTGGTTATGATTTCTAGCTGTTGTAAACTTTATATTCACTATTGGCTGCAATTGAGTGATGAATAACTTCCAATGTACTCGTGAAGTTTTGCCCGCTGGACTTGCCCACTAGAGTGCTTGGGATAAATGCGTTATACCTCTACTACTGCCTTTTTATCTGCTACCTTGTGGGTGTCTAAAACAAACCGTTCATAATATTAGCCATAAGCCCCCTGGGTTCAACATTGGTGAGCCCGACAACGTGTATTGTTTGCATCTATTCATTTTAATCCTTTATCTATTATTTTGATTTTCGTTCTTTTTAAATGTCTGACCTTATTGATTTCGATTCTGATATTGTCAGTGAGTCCGTCTCACTGGAGGTTGACGCTCCAGTTGCTACTAAGAATCGATTGCCAGCCTTCGGTAAAGAAGAACCAGAACTGCGGTTCTCCCAGCTAGAGTATTTCTCTGACCAACACAACGTAAAGTCAGAGAAACTGTGATACAAAGACTTGTGCTCCATTCTTCCTCTCTCAGTCAGTAAAGAGGTCAGTGATCTCGTAATCAACACCCCCTGGAGAAGACCCTTATTCCACGCTCGAGCGTGAAATAATAAACCGTCTATCAATGTCAGACAGCCGACACATCTAGAGTCTGCTACAAGTAAGGATGTTGGGAGATAGATCCCCATCACAGTCTTTGAGACACTTGCAAAAGATAGTGGACGGAAGTGCTGTCGGAGAAGCCATCCTCAAGGAAGGTTGGATTCAGACACTGCCCTATCATGCCCAGGACCCAAAAACCCCGCTTTCAGAATTGGCTCAAGTTGCAGATCGCATTATGGAGACAGGAACAACCAGGGACAATCACTTATCACTGGATAATAGTCCTAGCTCATCTAAGGACGCTATCATCACTGAATTAGTGGCAAACGTGAAAACACTGACGGAATCTGTGGCTGAAATCCAACTGCGTCAAAGTCAAAGAAGCAAGTCGCACTCAGACATAGATCGCGAAGTGGATCCGGAGGCTCGAGGCAGTCCGGACAATTCTGTTGGTATCACTGGAAGTACTGTGAACAATCTAAACGATGTACGGAACCATGTGCCTGCCTTGGCAGTCCCCTGGCAAACAGGGGAGCTGAAGACCCCTTCTCAGATAGCGACTGCTGAGGAGGGGTGCCCGAACAGTCACCTGTTTTACGTCACCGACAGAAATTCTGGCATAGAGTTCTTGGTAGACACGAGCCGCTCTTCAGTGTTCTCCAGCAAAACAAGGTCGAGCTTGGACACCAAATGTCCACAGTCACGCTGCAGGCTGCCAATAAAACACAAATAGCAACGTTCGAACAAAAGGCTATCACCCTGGATCTTGGGTTCAAACGGCAATTCCCCTGGGTGTTTATTATAGCAGATCTAGACCTCACAATGCTGAGTGTAAATTTTTTGGAGGGGTATGAATTCTAAGTAGACACAAAGAAGGGAAGGTTGACGTTGAAGGAAACTTCTAGATGCAAATAGGCAAGGCCAGCACAATCACATCCCTAAACCTGCTACAATATCCTCCAATATCAACCGAAAGGTTTAGAAATATATTGGTGGATTTTCCAGACCCGACGTCATCCAACTCACAGACCTCTCGCGTAAGTCCTAAGGTGACGCATAGCATAAAACGCATGGCCCTCCTGTATTCGCAAAACCTAGGAGACTAGCGCCAGATAAACTGAAACTTGCCAGGGCTGAAATTGACTATATGCTTCCGCTAGGCATTATTTGCCCTCCAGGAGCCGGTGGGCTCGCCTGCTACATATGGTGTCCAAGAAAAATCAAACAGCCTGGCGACCATGTGGTGATTATAGAGCACTAAACAAACAAACCACGCCCGATAGGTACCCAGTTCCGCACATTCAGGATTTGCCTAACTGTGTTGCAGGTGCCACCAATTCACTGAAATAGATCTAGTCCGCGCATATCACAATATTCCAGTGGCCGAAGATGTCCCAAAAACAGCCATCGCCACCCCATTTGGTTTATACGAATTAGCGCAGATGCCTTTTGGCCTTCGAAATGCTGCACAAACCTCCCAGAGGTATATGAACGATCCTCTACGGGAATTACCATCCGCCAAAGCATACATTAATGGCCTACTGGTGGTCAGCCCGGACACAGACTCACACAAGAGTCACACGTGGGTGGTCTCACAAAAAGCAAACGACAGTGGCATGGGGCCAAATCAAAGTAAGTGTGTTTTCGGAGTTCAGAACATTCAATTATTGGGACACGCGATTAATATAGATGGAAAGAAGACCATAAACCAGTACCCAGTAGCCACCTCTATAACGCAACTAAGAAGTTTTCTTGTTCTGATTAATTTTTATCATCGATTCATACCACATTGTGCGCAGCACATGCAACCTCAAACTGACGCCCTAAGGGGAAATCCTAAGGACTTTAAGCTCTCTACATAAGCTATTGAAGCTGTCAACAAATTTAAAGTGGCTTTGACAAAGGCTACAACCCTAAAATACCCTGATGTCAGTGCACCATTAGCAATGATGGTCGATGCTTCCGGCAAGGCTGTGGGAGCAGCACTCAGCCAGTTGGTGGACAATCAATGGCAACCAGTGGTGTTCTTTTCAAAACACCTTTCCCTACCCGAAACCCGGTATTCAACGTTTGGCCGAGAACTGCTGGCGGCCTTTCTAGCAATTCAGCATTTCCATCACATGGTGGAGGGCGGGAAATTTACGGTCTACTTGGACCATAGGCCTTCAACTTATGCACTGAATGCAAAGCCTGACAAGCACTCACTACGTAAAATTCGCCACCTTGATTTTGTATCGCAGTTTACTAGCGGTGTAAGACACGTTAAAGGTGCACAAAACTGCATGGCGGAGGCGCTGTCTCGAATTAACGTAAGCACTATTCACCAATCAACCATGATTAAGTTGCGGTACGTTTGAAATTGTGTTACATTTCAACGGGGTGCCGGTAAACAACATGTCATGTAAACTTAGTGTTGCGTAGCTGATATTGCTGGTCAATATTTCGTCCAAATTTCCCATGGAATGGGAATATTTTGGAGTAATTTCACTCAACGGTCTTCATTTGTGTTGGTTTTCTTCAGTTAATGGCTAGATTTGCTATGCAGCTTGTCGAGCTGTCTAACTGCGTTACACTGGGCATGTCAGTATCAGCCTGCTGTCTGTAAGCTGACTTGTTATAGGTGTGGTGTGGTCACTCTCTTTGGGTAAGTTAACCGCTCATAATGTGAATTTAGAATGAATAAGGTCCATTCTGCAAAATTTTTCGTTGTTAAAGTATAACTTGCTTTTCATGCAGTAAAAATGTATTCGGAAGGTTAAAGGAAGATGTTAGGTTATCATCTGTGTTAAGTGTACTACTCTATAAATATGGATCTCATATTTACCTTTTTATGTTATTGCTGATCATGCACACTTATGGTGGGCAGTCTGTAAAAATCCACTGTATGTATTTACAGTCAAATGGGAAATGAGATTTTGCAAGCATCAGAGCATTTGTGCTCCCTGATGAAATTGTGTGTATGCTACTCAGTAAAGCACTGAAAAGGGATACAGTGGATCTTCTATTAGCCTCTCACTCACCTAATAGCAGGGAGTAGTTAAGAAATCATCGGGACGTTGAGCATTTAGGATGAAGATAGCGGAAGTGGTTGACGTATCACAGTAAGCAAGCCAGCTTTCGAAGTATTTTTATGATAATGCAGAGAGCTTGTGATGATTATGAGTCCGTAGAATCGCATTATGACAAGGAATTTGGAAAGAGGCATATGTGATTTGTGGGTATAATCACACGGAAACTATCGTTCGTAGTTTTTAAAGACGATGGCTACAGTTATATTTCCTGAATGTCCACACGGAAGGAAAGAAAAGGAATCTGTGAACGTTTTGAATTCCTACACTGAGTCCAAGAGAAGT